CACTACTTAAACATGCAACCCACATGAGGACCCCCAAATTTGATACACCGACCTATTTGACACAAAATTTGAAGACATATTCTACATTAATTACCTTAAAATATTTTTTTTGATAATATATTTATTTCAACGTGGATTTTATATTAATTTTCTTTTAAAGAAAATAGGACTAAAATGGTTGGTCAAGTTATGAGACAAATGGGCCTGGGCCATATCAAAGAGATGACACATATGGGCCTGAGCCTGGGCCGGAATTCTGATGGCCGACCAAACATAACTTGTAGCGTAGGTTTTAATAATGTTTTGTTCAACAAAAAATAATGTAACTAAATAAATAAATCCATTAATTATTGCCGGGAACTTTGGTAAATTTGGAAGAAATAAAGTACCCATCTCCAATTATTGAAATTTACTTTCAAGGAAAGAAACTTACTTTTTTCCACGTGGCTTCATTTCATTGGCTAAGAAATATTATAATAATAAATCTTTGAATATGATTAGGGTTTAATAATTCATGACGAAATTATAGTTTCTACTTCAATAATTTGAATAAAATTGAATAAAAAATAATTTTGTTTCATTTTCTTTAGGGCTTTAAAAAGAAATTTGATGTTTAATTTTTTTAAATAATTTTTGTTTAATAGGTCCATCTATTTTACACAAAAAAAATAATAATAATAATAATAATAATAATTAAATGTTTAGAGATATATTATAAATTTTTTAAACTTCACGAGTTTATTTGACACAATTCAAAGTTGAGGGATCCAATTTGTAATTTAATAAATCAACGACCGAGTATGAATGAATCAAATAACTGACCTCTATATCAAAAAGAAATATAACACCAATCAATTGAGTTATGTTCGACAATTATAAAACAGAATTGTGAGATCCTACATCAGTTGGAGAGGAAACAAAGTATTTCTTATAAGAGTGTAGAAACCTATCCCTAGTATATGTGTTTTAAAATCGTGAGGCTGATAACAATACATAACGGGCCAAAGCAGACAATATTTACTTAGCGGTAGTCTTGGACTGTTACAAATAGTATCAAAGCCAGATGTCACGGTCATACTCGTCCAAGGCGTGTTGCCCGTGGTCGCATGCCCATGACAAGTCAAACCCTTTATGTCTTTTCATATTCTAGTATTTTACTTTTGTATTTCTAGGAACTATGGCGTTTCAGAAATATCATGTCTAGGCCTGTCATACATGAAATGCCTCAAAATGTACTGTAGAGGGATACGACTAGTTGTCAACTTCTCCCTATCCAAGGTTATATACTGTGAGTCGTTGTTATTTCTCTCTTGCTTGCTTATATAACGTCTCTTTAAAAAATCTCTCTCTGCCCTCGTTTTCTAAAACCTTCTCTTAAAACCGAGGTTAAAGGCTCGAGCATACGTCGCTTGGCCATAGACGACGCAGGCTTAGCTAACTTGTCGTTGGAAAGTGAGTGCTACACAATCGTAAGTCCGCTGCCATCAAAAGTGCGATAGTGACACCAGACACCGAGTGGTGTTCCAGCGAGAATGCTAGCTCCCAGCGGAGTGGATTGTGAGATCCCATATCATTTGGAAAGGGAACGAAGTATTACTTATAAGGGTGTGAAAACATATCCCTAACAGATGCGTTTTAAACTCGTGAGGCTAACGGTGATATATAACGGGCCAAAATGAACAATATCTGCTACCAGTAAACTTGAACGGTTAAAAAATTATAAAAGAAAATACGTGGGACATGGAGGTGTAAAAGTGACCCTATGCTTTAAGGGTTGGTTTCTATAAAAGGTGTTAGTACAAGATGCTTGTCACAATGTTTGTGCAATTTAGGGTACAAAAATTGTGACAGGCTAAGGGACAGCTACTTTAGAAGGAAATTATTTAATAAAATTAGATGCAACTTTTACAATAAGGTCCATAATAATATCAAACTATACATTATAGTACTCTTGTAGGACATAGATTGCTTCAAAAATGGACCATCATTTTAGTTATATAAATAATTTTACAAAATAACTTAATATTATTTATTTATTTATTTTAAATGAAAAAAATCATAAAAAGCATTAGAAAAATTAAAAATTTCCAAATCAAAATAATTGTGAATGGGCATATTTTAAATATAATTGGACCACAACTTAAGATAATTAATTTAATTGTTATCATTTTCACGGTCACAATCATCCTAATCATTTTAGATTTTTTTCTCGGAATGGGATGAAAAGCTAATTAATTATAGAAACTTACTTCATTTAATTAAGACTAAAGATGTTTACGGGGAGGGGCGAGGACGGAAAAACTGTTCTCTTCCCCATCCCGCTTCCTATTTCAGTCCCTATTTTCGTGAGATTTTTCATTTATTTCTACAGGGTCTTTTTCATTTATTTTTACAGGGGTCGGGGGGAAATTTTATAACAGAAAATTCGTGTTTAGCTAACGGAAAAAATCTCTCTCCACTCCTTTCTCAATTTTTTTTTTTCCGTTTAAACAGAGATTCTTCAGAATTAGGGGCATTTCGAAAAAGAATTTTGATAATATAGTGAAGGAAAGGTCAATTGTGGGATCCAACCAAAAGCGCGCGTGCAAAAGCAAGAATCAACGGCCAGCATGCACCGCGCGTCAGGTCGCCTTCGCATGAGGAAAATAGGCTATAAGCTTATTATTATTATTAATATTATTTCTATAAAAAAAAAGAAAAAATCTATATTCAAAGACATTATTATTACAATAATTTTCTTTTTTTTTTCTTTATATATATATATATAGATATAAATACTCCCCTTATGACTTTTTTTCCATTATTATTTTAAAATATCCCAATTGTATTTTAAAAAATAAAAATAAATTTAGAGGAAATTTCTTTAATTTAATTACTTTTCGAATCTATGCCATGACACGTAGGAATAATATTTATTTTCGAATACTCAACTTTAAAAAGAAACCAACATATTAAAAGTGACAATTATAAAGTAATTTATTTAAGACGTCCATCCAATTAATTCAATAATAAATCAAATTGAATTTAAATTTTATTAAAAAACTAATAATTTAAAAAAAAAAGTTATATATTTATTTAAATTTGAGTTGTAATTAATTAATTAATTAAAAGTTTAAGATTAAAATGGATAGAATTTAATTTGATTAGACATAGTTAAGAGGTGAAGGGACACCGGGGGAGGCAGCGGGGTGGTCCACGGTGGCCGGAACCAAAGGCTGACACACAACCATTGGGTTCACAAAAAGTCAGCCCACCAGCCCCAGCCTGTCGCCCGGTCCACTACCCCTAATCATCAAAATCATTTTCTCACCACGTGGCAGCCTTTCATTGCCCTTTTTCTTTTCACTCAACTCCAAGTTTCTCCAATAATAGAAAATTATCTTTCTTTTTTCTTATTAAAAAAAGTTAAATTATAGTAAATAACTTTGGAATATATACTCTTTAACTTTAACTTTGAAGTAAAACACGTTTTAACTTTTAAGACTCTATGAGTAAATCATTGGAAAAGAAAGTCCCACGTCGACTAATTTAAGGAATGATCATAGGTTTATAAATAAATAATACTCTCTCCATTGGTACGAGACATTTTGGAAAAGCTCAAAACAAAACCATGAGAGCTTGTGTTCAAAGTGAACAATATCATACCATTGTGGAGAGTCGTGTTCTTCTAACTTGGTATCAGAGTCATGCCCTAAACTTAGTTGTGCCAATAGATTGGTAAATCCTTAAATGTCGAACAAAGCCTCCTCATTAAAAAATGACTAAGACTCCAAAGGGGTCAAGGGGGCTAATTTAGGGAATGATCATGGGTGACTCCAAAGGGGTCGAGGGGACAGATAGTAACTTTCAATTTTTTAAAGTTTTTCTTAGTCATATCATATCGTCAGGATCACTCTCTTTCGGATATAGTCTCGATTCATTCATATACTCTAATGAAGTTCAAAGTCGAACATGACTGAACTACACTCTAAGGGTATTATATTTATCAGTTACCATATAATTTCATATTTTTCATTGATTTGACCGAATATCTATAAGATAAATATAATATAATATATATATATATATATTGAAATAATTTGGATGAATTGATTGAAGAAGCTAGGTTACATGCCCATGTGCCTGTTGAGAGAAAAAAAGTAAACATTTTATCTTTTCAAAGTCAAATTTTTGGGTACAAATAATGTCCTGATTTGTTATTTGGTCTCATTGCCAGCTTGTATGTAAGAAATTAAAGCATTGCTTCTCACTTACAATACGATAAAAAGTAAACCCGAACTTTAAAAAATATCTCTAAAACTGGAAAAAGGGTATTTTCGGGACGTAAGCTTTTGTGTTCGTTTGTATAGCTAGAATCTTTAGCCTAGGGTACCCATCGTAATTCTCGTGAAATTTTGATTTTAAAAAATTAAGATTCGTGTGAGGGGAATGTTAGGACCGTCATGTATCGAATGTGGATTCAACATGTAATAGCACTAACGGTTAAAGGGTCACTTGTAAGTAAGTCGTGTTAAACGTAGAATAAATCATATCTGTACATAGTAAGATAATCTAGTGATTTACTCGTTTGTTACCAAATCTATGATTTCATGGTTTGTTACCAAATCTATGATTTACAATGTAATCTTTATCATACACATCTATAAGTACATGAGGTCATGACCCATATAGGTCCCAGTGCCATTCAACCTAACATGGTATTCGAGTCGTGCCCTAAACTTAGTCGTGCCAATAGATTGGTAAATCCTCAAATGTCGAACAAACGACTCTAAAAGAAAAAGAGTCAAGTCTCCTTGAAGGCATTCCAAAGGAGTCGAGCCTCGATTAAGGGGAGGCGTTGGATGATGAAAGTTCCACATCGGCTAATTTAAGAAATGATCATGGGTTTATAAACAAATAATACTCTCTCCATTGGTCTCAAGCCTTTTGGGGAAGCGCAAAAGCTATAAGAGCTTATGCTCAAAGTGAACAATATCATACTGGTATGGAGAGTCGTGTTCGTCTAACAAATCGAACTTTGATTAATAAGAACGAGAAATTCAAATAAAATGATTACAAACTAAAATAAAATAACATGAAGAAATAGAAATGGAAGAATTGGATAATTTCTCCTTCAATCAAACCCACCATTTAGCTCCTTTTTATGCACATTTTGAAGGAGGCCCCACCATGTTCTTACCCTGTTTGTTTCCCGAGAAAATATGGATTTAACGGAATAAGATTCGTTTTGGTTCTTGCCCTTTCTACGGCGTCACTCGCGGCGGAGTTCTAGATTCCGCCGGCGGCGTGTTCACGTCCGATCCTTTCGATGGGTCATCGGAAGACTGACGCAACCCATCATCGGTCTCGCTTCTATGACTGTTCATATCTTCGATCATCCGTACAACTTCCGGCATCGTCGGCCGTTGATCGGGGACAGTCGAAACACAGGACATTGCAATTTGAAGCAATTGAACCATCTCTTCTTCGATATTGTGGAACCGCATTAGCTCTGCGTCGAAAACCTCCGCCGTCCATTCCTCCCGGACGACGGATTGGACCCACCGTGGAAGGTCGATTCCGTCTTCGCCAAGGGATTGCTGGTTGGGGGCTTTTCCGGTTAGAAGCTCGAGGAGGAGAACGCCGTAGCTGTAAACGTCCGATTTGAATGTGACTTTTCGGGTCTCGACGACCTCTGGTGCTCTGTAGCCGGCGACGCGATTCGGCGGCGTGGCGGTGCCGAAGAGGGAGTTCAGGCCGAAATCGGAAATGCAGGCGTCGTGGTCCGGCCGGAGAAGAATGTTGGAGGATTTAATGTTGCCGTGAACCACCTTGCCGACGACGTGGAGATGGGTTAGTCCCCGGCCGACGCTTACTGCTATTCTCATTCTTGAATCCCAATCCAGCGGCGTCCTGCCGGAGCCTCTGCTTCCTGCGACATCGAATTAACTATTTAATTTTCAATTTTTAAAAAAAATTATATATTTCTTTACAATTTCTCATATTTACATTTAAGGGCTTACAAAGTTAAGAAATTAAAAAACCTACCACTACTCGATCTAAAAGCTTATATTCGAGCCTTCTAAGCTCGCGCCCGTTGAGTCGATCCTATTCAAATTATTTTATTTCGGTAATATTTTGAAAGAAAAGCCAAGTAGGGACTTTTCTGCAAAAGGGTATTTTCGTAAATATTGTTTAAGAACTTGCAGAAGTAAAGTGAGAGGCAATGTGATAAAAGCCTAAACCTAAGGCTTCAATTATAAGCTTAAAGCAACCAAAAAAAAACATGCCACCAACTTTGAGCTACAAAAATTCAACACTCCATTGAGTGACCCATCTTTCTTTATTCACAAGCCATCTTTTTTTTTCTCTCTCTCGAACTTTTTCCGTGTCTTTCGAGGTCGGGTTTGACCGCAGTGGCTTGGAATGAAAATTGGAATCCGAACATTACCACAAAGTCTCGGGTCATTGCTACACTACCAGGTCATAATTTCTATAGGTATATACGGGTCGGGGAAATCCTTTGAATCAACCTAAAATTTTATATTGGTTGGATTGGTGACCTGAACAACCCACACCCCGAACAAACTTCACAACCCAACCCAATCCAACTTCTCTATTTTGGGGTTGGGTGGTCGGGTTATTTTTCTTGAATTATTTTTTAAAAAATTATACTCGTCTACCATACATGTTACATTACTAACATTCAATCAATAGAGTTAACCTAACCCTAACCGACAAAAATCTAACGCAACCTAACCTTCATGCTTTGGGTTGAGAAATCCAAGTTAATCAGACTCTCAGGTCATATGAACACCCCTATGTCGTAATGGCTTGGAATCTGAACACTACTACACCATCTCAGGTCATAATTTCTAGAAAGATCATTTGAACCAACTCAAAATTTTAGATTAGTTGGGTTGATGATCCGAACAATCCGAACATTAGGACCTAATATTACAAAAAATTTTAGAAAATATTAGGGGTAAAACAGTAATTAAGAGAGTGAAAGAGGGTAGATTTAAGAAAACTAACAGAAATTAATAAAAACATAAAAGAATGATGAATAATGTCTGAGCAAAAACTAAGAATGTCTCTAGACAGTGAGGAATTAAAGGAAGTACACTTTTGAGCTGGTCGGCATTAAATTTATACCAAATTAAAAAAAAAAATTAAATAAATAAATTTAATTATATTTTTTTCAATCACGCTCATAATGTGATCTCTTGAACAAAAAGCCACCCCCCATGCGCTGTCACCCATCTCCCCAATTCTCTCTAATTATCAGTTCTTTTTTTAAATAAACTAAAAAAATTTCTAAATATTTTATTCATATATATATATATATTTAACAAAAATATCTTTTATTCAAAATTATTAATTTTTTATTATATTCCAATATGAGCGTAGTGCAACTCACTTTTATATATATATATATATATATATATATATTAATTTTTAATTTTTTATAAAACATAGCATTAACAATTTAACCATATGCATATATTTTAATAAAATATTTTTAAAACAAAATTATTAATTTTTAACATTAAATTCTTATAAAACATAATTAACAAAAATTTGACCATAAAATTAATTTTTTTAAAAAAATAATTAAACACACTTCCCAATATGTAGTCAACCTCACTAAGAACAATGCAAGCAAGGGAATAAAATAAAATTAAAATTAAAAAAAAAATGACGACGGAGGAGGAAGAGAACTGACCGTGGAGACTGGCGGAGAAGCTGCCGGTGGAGATGTAATCATAAACGAGCAGTTTTTCATCTTTGGAGAAGTAGAAAGCTCTGAGCGGAACCACATTTTCGTGTTTGATTTTCCCTAAAATCTCCATTTGTGTTTCGAATTCCTTCTTCGTCACCACCACATCCTTCAGCCGCTTCACCACCACCGTCGTCCCTTCCTCCAGCACCGCCTTGTACGACGTTCCCACGCTTCCTTTCCCCAATACCTCCGCCGATGCTCTCAATAAATCCTCCAAATCGAAATTGTAAATCCCTCCTTCGAAGAACACTAGCTTGTTCCTCTCCGTCGCCTCAATTGACCCTCCGGTAATGTCGTCTTTTGATGATGATGTTCCCGCCTCCGCTATTGGGATTGTTCTCGCCGTTGTTCCCACTGTCGATGGTGGTTTCTGTGATTTCGCCGGCTGCCTATTGGACCGCCGTCGAAGACAGAGGATGAGGAAGAGGAGGAGGAGAAAGGCAGCGAAAACAGCGCCGATGATTATTCCGATTATCGCTGCCGTGGAGAGCTTCTTCGATTTTTTGATTCCGTCAATCGGTGGGGGGTTTTGCGACGGAGTTGGAGAGGGTCCACTGCAGGATGGGAATGGTCCGCCGCAGAGATCTAAGTTTCCGGCGAAAGAGGATTCCGGGAATTTAGCTAACGATTTCGGAATCGAGCCGTTGAGTTTGTTGTTAGAGACATTGAAGTTTGTTAAATTCACGGCGGAGATATTCGGGAGTGAACCGGAGAACCCATTGTTCTGCAAGAAAAGCCCACTCAGATGTGTCAGATTGTCAACAGACGGCGGAATCGGACCGGACATATTATTCGACGACAAATCGAGCCGAGTCAGCCGAGTTAGCTGAGTCAAACTCGGCGGAAACTCGCCGGAGAAAGCATTATCCTGAAGATACAGATTCCGCAGCATTATCAAATTGGAAAAATCCGTTGGGATCCCACCGGAGAGACGGTTGGAACGGAGGCTAAGAACTCGGAGCTGAGTCAATTTCCCGATGGTATTAGCCGGAATCGGACCGACGAGGCCAACGCCGGGCAAACGAAGAGAGTAAACAAACGACTGGTTGGAATCGCACTCGACGCCGATCCAAGTACAAACGGAATTGGAAGGATTCCATTGAACCCGATTGGCATGAGGGGTTTTAGAGAGGAAATCGAGAAGCGCTTGTTTGTCCTGAGTCGGCTCCGAGTTGACCCACTGAGTCAGAAGAAGAAGAAAGACAGAGCAGAGAGAAATTGCCGCCGCCATTGTGTTTTTACAGAGACAAAACAGAGGAGGAATTAGAGAACAGAGATGTTGGTTGTCTTCTACAGGGCGGTTTGGAACAGTGGTATGTTATGGTGGTATTTGGCAAAACCAGAAATGGTTTGCCGGCGAAAAGCCATGAGAGAGAGAGAGGGAGAGAGATGGGGGGGGTAGTGAGAGAAAGGGGAAGAGGGAGGTTTTGTAGAGAGAGAGAGAGGGATCAGGAGGACGATGAATGGCCCACGAAAGTTAAAAAAAGAAAAAGGGAGAAGAGAAAACAGAGAGGAGCAGTAATGGCGGAGAGCATTTGGAAACGTTCCTCTTTTTTTCTTTTTAATCTTTTCATAAACTGTCGCTGTGAAATCAAAGGAAGAAGATGATGAAGAAAAAGAAACGCAACGCTTCTTTTTTCCATCCCCCACGCGCTTCTTCCGCTCGTGTACTTCACTCTCCAATACTATTGCAATTATTCATCTTTAATTTTTCTCTTTAAAATATTTTTTATTTTATTTATTATAATAAATCTTAAATTTAATTTCTATATTTTTAAAAAATATATTAAAATTAATCTTTTCTTTCCATGTACTAAGAGCGTTTATACGATTTGATAATCCGACTAATATGAATTACTCAACCCAAACCATAAAATTGGGTTGAGTTGAATTTTTTAAAAATCGAGAATTTGATTTGGTTTGGTTCGTGGGTTGACTTTTTTTTCAGGTCAACTCGACCAACTAAAAAATAGGGTTATAATTCACTCTGACCCTATTTACTTTTTAAAAAAATTAAGAATATATAAGATTTGTAAGAGAGGTTAGTGGTGCTCGTAAATATTTGATATTGAATTGTATGAAATTTTAGTTATTAATGTAATATATAGGGTAGATAAATAAAATTTTTTAAGTAATAATAATAAAAACAACCCGGCAACCCAACTTGAAAATAGAGGGTTGAGTTGAATTAGGTTGTGAACTCTACTCCAATTGCTCGGGTCACTAACCCAATTTTTTATTGGTCTAAAACATTTTATTGAACCAGCATACACGTGTAATAGAAATAAAAGGTTTAAAATAATATTTTTAACAAATTTTTTTAAAAACCTTTTTTTTTTTTTTAATGTTGGAACATTTTTCATATAAATTTATATAAAATAATTCTTTTTTAAATTAGCCCAATAATTTTATGTGAATAAAAAATAGTTTAAATAGTAATTAGAAATATCCCAATAATTTTAAATTGTAATTAGAAAATATATATATATATATAAAATAAAATTTTCTGGCTACGTTTAACGCAGTGCAACGAACGCGGCGAGATTGGAGATTAGGATATCAACAGAAGGGGGTGAAAACTCGGAGAGTTAAACGGCGACATTGTTTTGTCGTTAAGGCAGTGGGGCCCATCAAGATTTGACGGTCCAGATTGTCCCATCAGATGTTTCGTTTGATAAATCTGATCACCAACCCGTTTTTACGTACTAATTTGGGCTAAATCCAATTACACCAACCGTTGGATCGAAACTTTGATTCTTCGTAAACGGAAAATTAACGGCCGGTTTGACTTTGGACCGAAAATCCGTCTGTGAAAAAATCTCACTCGGCCGGTCGAGGGCATCCAAATTGAAGATGACTTTATTAATTTTAATATTTTTTTATATAAAAAAATAAAATTTCAAGAAACATTATTGAAATGTTTACTTTAAATTAATTATTTTATATTTTTCAAATTCTTTCCATTCAGAGATAAGTGATTCGTTGAACCAATTTTTTTTTTTTAAAAATAGCATTTTATATTCTTCTGAAATTTAATTTCTTATCGATTTTAATTACGTTTTATATATGATTGTTATGGGTCGAATTGAGTCGGATTATGACATTTTTGTAAATTCATTGTAATTATTCGAGTTATAAATTTTTTAACCTAATCATTAATTTTTTTGGTTCGGATTTGTTCGAATTATTTAAATTTAAATTTTTAATAAAATTAAAATTTTAAATTTTAATTAAAATTTATATTAGAAATTACTTAGTGAATAAAATAATAATAAATGTGATAATTAAGTGTGACAAATGGAAGTATAATTAAAACTATAATATATAATTACAACTATAGTTACAAAGTATAATTAAAACTATAATATATAATATATTGATGAAATAAAATGATCCCAAATGGAAGAATGAGGCATCAATTTGTCTTATTATAATGTTTGCAAATGCCAATTATTTTATCTCTAATATTCAACTTCTTTGGAAATACTTTATGATTATATATTATGTATTATATTATATTATATAGTATATATATATATATATATATATATATATATTATGAGATTCATGAAGAAGTTTCCTTAGGGTAATTATAAGTTATGATTTTTATTTTTATCACACACTGAAGTAAGAGGAGAAAGGCACCCCATCAATGCCCAACTTATAAGCAAAGCGATTTGATTCTAACACGTATTAAGGATTTCGTACGTGTTTTTGAATTGATTTTTAATTATTTAAAATTAATTTTGACGGAGTAAAAATTACGTTTATAAGGTTAAAAGTGGGTCTAGATCAGCAGTAATTGACATGGAGAATAGTCACATTAAAGGTGTAAAACTAAGCTTAAATATGTGTGTTCAGAGTAATTTTAAGTACGATAATAATGAAATGTTATGTTCAAAGTGGATAATATTATACTATTGTGGAGGGTCGTAATTTTTAATACAATCAACCTATTTTCTCGAGCTCATTTTGTATTTTAAAAAAATAATAAAAAAATTATTTTAATTTTAATAAACCAAGGTTTGCCCTTCTGGCCATGATTTAGCCATCTAATTTTTTATATATATTTTTTTAAATATTATTACTAATTATTCCCTTTTACAAATTTAAAATAAAAAAATAATTATTTAAGTAAATGGACCCACATAAGCTTGATTAAATCTATTAATGTGACAGTTCGGATTGATTATTGTTGTTGTCTATAACTAACCACATTGGGACAAGATAAGACCTTATTTTGCCTTAATTTATTTCATATTATTACTTTCTTTAAAAAAAAAAAAAGATTTTTATTTAATTATCATTTTCTGCTCTTAATGCAGTTTCCATTTAGTCTCGAAATTATAAAATATAACATTAAAACTTTGAGATGGGTAAAACATCTCTCTAACAGACGCGTTTTAAAATGTGAGGTTGACGACGATACGTAACGGGCCAAAATAGACAATATTTGTTATACATGGTATTGGAGCCAGAGATTATGAGATTCCACATCGTTTTAAAACCGTGAGGCTGATGACGATACGTAACAATAAACAAAATCTATATCATAATATTTAAATTACTTCACGGAAAAGTCAACCCTAAAGACCAAAAGTAAACATTAATGGTGAAAACTCGAAAGGTAAATGTAGCATTTTAAATTCTAGAAGGTCGGAATGAAAACTATACTCATAATTTAAAAAGGGTATTGTTTTTAAAATAATAATAATAATAACATTAATATCTTATTTACTGTGAAAGTTAGATGAAGAATTAAAATAAAGAGTAATTATTAATTTATTAAAGATATTGGAAAAGGACTTAAAATTATTATCCACTTAGTTTAAGACCACACATGATGAAAAGGGTTGCATTTTGGTCACATATGATTGTCTTACCATACAAGAACATATTTCTAGCTCATATGTGTGTTCTCTTTCTCTCTCTCGTATTGTTCATTGTTTTTAAATTATACTCGTTAAACTTTAGTCAAATTCTCGATAATCTGATCAATTGAGACTATTAATCTAATTTGATTGGATTGGGTTCGATTAATTTGATTGGATTGGTTGGATTGTAACCCTATTTTCAAAATTATTAATAACGTTTAACGTCTCGAACCAATAATAGTGATGCATTGCCACTTGTGAATAATTGATATTTAAATTTTATGAGATTTTAGTTATTAATTTAAAATTTATTGGGTTATGTTGTAAACGGGTCTCCGATGCTGCAATTTTTAAGAGTGAAACCGTATAAATTTTTTATTTTCATAGACCCACGACACAACTCCTTATTCTCTCTTTTCTACCTTCGTCTTTTTCTTCGTTTTTCTCTTGTCATTGTCATTGGTCATCGTTAAATATCAGAAGCCTGTGTTACACATGATTTTTCACAATCGCTGACCATGAATGTTTGTATTAAAGTATTGATTTGAACTTAATTCAATTAGTTATACGTGTAATGTTTTTTTTTTCATATAAAATTAAGTGTTAGTGTCACATCCACACAATGAGACAAAGATACATGTGTAGAGGATCAAATTTTGGATTTTTTTATTTTTTTATTTTGAATAATTTTAAATGCTTTTTTTTTCCTAATTAGAAAAGACAACAGAAAAGTGAAGGATATATATATATATATATATATACACATATATATAAATGAATAATCTAAGGACAACTAACCAAAATTATCTTCTATATATTTTTTTTCTCCTTAAAAAAACCTTCTAAATATGTTTTATATATCCCTAATTATATTCCCTTTTAATATTTTGTGTTCTTAAATAAATTAAACAATACCCACTTCTTATGGTTAAGGTATTTATTTTAAAATAAAATAAGAGAATATTAAAAATAGAATAAATCTACGTTTCATTCATCCTAATTATTTGATCGATTTTGTCTAACCCAATCTTAAAAAGCGAAGGTCCAAGCTGCTCGGTCGACCAAGTTCAATAAATCTAGACATTGTTTAGGACTAGGTTGAACCGACCGACTTTCAATAACCAAACCCGCGACCCAGAAAGAAGAGGAACTGAATACAACCCGTATATATTTGGTGAAAAGGGAAACTATTATTTCTTTCTATATAGAAAAATTCGAGCTAGAAGTGTACAATGAGTGATCTAAAAGGTACATACTATACAGAATCTATAAGAACCAAACCTCTCATCTCCTTTGGAAGTTGAAGGATTTTATGGCGAAAGCAAAGATGGTGGCAAAAAACAGGCAGAAACCAAAGACCATGATGGCAGCTACGCCTAAGAAATCATGTCTAAACCCGAAAACATGCTTGAGAACGTCGTGTATCGCTACCGAGTTAATTCCATCTGATAGCTTTACAAGCTTATTGTCATCGCCATATTGTGATACTTGGAGTCCATATAAACTCCAAGCCACAGGATTAGCCCAATAATACCATCTCCACCATATTGGGATTCGCTGAAATAAGCAGGAGAGCAACAATTTAGGTCAGCTAAAAATGAAAATAAGCAAAAGCAACAACATGCTTCTATTGTCATTTGACAGCCGTTATAGTAGGACGAACCCTCCGCTCGTACACGCGTATGTGGGGAGAGACAAGAGAACTGCTAAATAACTTATTAAC